TTTTCCTCTGGTCCTTTTCCCACTGGCTGTGTTTATGAGAGACTCGTCAAAATGGATTCTTCCACATCTATTTGCAGTATTTACAGGGCAAATCCCGTTGAAACCAGGCATGGAAGCCCAGCACTCGAGTAGCTTGGATGTACCGGCTGATACAAAAATCTTCCATTCATTTTACAGTGAAAAAACAACAACAAACAGAGCTACGAGGAAAACAGGGGAAGGGAGGTTGAGAAATTAGAACAGAACAACATACATAATTTACTTTTCCACGAGTGTGCACTGAACGAGCACGCAGCACTGGCTTCAGGTGCAATAGTAACTTGGGACTGAATGTTTTTTTAACGCTCCATGTTGTATAACATTGAGCAATGATAAAAGTGCATTATAATAAGATGCATCTGTCCTCAAAATGAAAATTAATAAGACAAAGAAATGCTCTAGGAGATGAATGTTTTCTTGATGGAGTAGATTTTAGCATTTTTTCCCCCTCGCAGCCTACTTAAAATTCAGTGTCAAACGGCGCTGCTATTGGCCTATAATTACAACATCAGTCATTATTGATCATTGTCACTTTAATAAACAGCTCTCAACATTTCGAGGAATTTTCCCAAGATAAAACACGCAGCAACAAAGCTGGCCTCTTTGCATTCATCTTGAGGACATGCAGCGAACAGAACTGGCCAAAATAAGGAGCCGTGGCTTTCAGAGCTCTCTAGAATCAACATTCAAATGGTGTTTTTAGAGAAAGGGAGTGCGTAATGTTTGCTTGGCCTCAAGATAGCGCTTCAAGGATACACTACTTTTGTTTGCATTGTTTTGTTGATATGTGTGCGTGAAATAGCTGGCGGGGGAAATGTCAGTGTCATTCCATTATGTATCAAGGCAAAACACTGAAGGATATGAATTCCAGCCTGAAAAAGAAAGGGGAAAAAATGATTGTGTGCATTCTGCTGTAAGTGCGTGCGCTCATGTTTTGGAATACACAGAAGGGCAAAAGGTTTTTCTGTGCCTCGGTTCTAAGTCTGTCGGTAATTACAGCATCAGTACGTAATAGACACAAGCATGCGAAAGCAAGTTATAGTTTCCAAATCTCACCGAATACGTGTGTTGAGCGATTTGTTTTACAGCAGTAAATTCCTGGTGCCGTGGTTGCTATGAAACTCTGTTGGTTGTCCAAGAGAGACAGAGAATACTGATTTTAGATCTTTTTTTTATGTGTGTGTTATTCTACATTCTCTCTTTTGTGCACTGATGTGGCCGATTCTCTGACATTTTTAAATACTGACTGATAATTGGCAAAATTCTTGCTTTTGTTTACGATATCATCACGTGTGACTGACTGGAGCTCTTGTACAATGAACAATAAAGGTTTCAAAACATTTAAAGACAAGTTTAAAGCATTTTTTTATAAAAGGAAGGAAATGTGCGAGTCTGTTTGTTTATCACTAAACTCCCTTTGAGATGAGAGGAAAGCAGTGAACAGCTGCTGCTGGGACTCCTGCTGGGTGACGTTGGTGTTCTCTTTATTTGAATCTCCAGTCCTACCAGCATATGCACAGTGCTACTCCTACCCTTTGGAGGACATCAAAAATAAATACACGAATAAATAAATGACTCAGATAAATTAATTTTCAATTAGAGATATCAAAATTATTTTAAAAAATAGATAAATTCATAAATCGTTAGTTTGAAACTGTGGTGTAATGTTTTCTTTGTATCTCCCCGGTTCCCCGTGGGTACTCCTTCCTCCTACAGTCCAAAGACATGCTTGTTAGGTTAATTGGTGATTCTAAATTGAGTGCAGCTAGGTACAAATGCGAGATTGTCTGTCTCTCTGTATTAACCTTGTGATTGACTGGTGCCTTGTACATGGTGTACCCCATCTCTCGCCCAGTGTCAGCTGGGATAGGCTCTAGTCCCCACTGTAACGCTGAATTAGGAAAGCGATTAAGAAAGTGGAGGAATGACCTTTCTCTTTGCTTTCTCCATTCATTTAACATAAATTCATTATAAAATTTTAGGGTTATCCTTCAAAAGGTGTCATGTGGTCTACTCATGTGGCTTGCCTTCAGCTGGGAAATACCATTGAAGTGAGGCTCTTAGAATCAAGGGGACTATTTATTTTTCATGAAAAGGCTCTGTGTGTTGCAGATTGACGTACATGGACACCAGGATTTGGCCTTTTATCAATCTTGTAATAGAGGGATTCATACAAGCATGGTACAGTGGTTACCACTGCTGCCTCACGGTAAGAAGGTTCCTGGTTCAAACCTGCTGGCTGGGGATTTCCTGTGTGGAGACTGCAGATTTTCTCTGTGACTGCATGGGCTGTCTCTGGGAAATCTGGCTTTCTTTCACCTAAGAAAGGCATGCATGTTCACCTGTTGATTCCAAATTATGACCATGAATTATTCTGTGTTTGTCTTGTGATGGACTGGCTACAATTACTTAGTGTACCTTCTCAGTCTTGTGACAGCTGGGATAGTTTCCAGCCTCACACCAATGGGACAAGAAGAGAAGGAAATAAAGGAATAGATGAATATAAAAAGGCAAAAGCAAATGAAAGCTAACACCAATTTATGTAGCATTTTATGTCTAAATTGAAGCCTCCATTTATCATTAATATTAAATTTGAGGATCTTACGGCTTATTTTTTTGTTCATTCATTTCTTTTCATTCCTTTCATTATGGGCTTCCAGTAATGTGTATCTTCACATTTGTGGCCGAGGTCTCTTCTCCCTTCAGGTTGTGTGTGTATCCTTGTATGATGTGGACACAGGTGGAGCCCTGTGACTGGTTAATTCAATAAGATTGTTACATCTGGTTTGAACCATCCAGAAGCAATATTTTGGAACAGTGAAAGTGTCATTTTACTAGTGTATGAGCCATTTATTCCATTGGCATCAATTTTAAGAAGATTATGTGGATGGATGATCAGATATTAAAGTTAGTTTTGCTCCTTGTCATTGTTTTCATTGTTTCACTGAAAACAGTGGAAGCAGTAGCAGAAACTGCAGCCACCACCCTGACCACTACTGTCACTGCTTTTAAGGCCATGTATTATGTTCTGCTAAAATGCTGCAGACTCACAACCAAGTAGACAATTTACTTTATTGAAATGAGATATTTAGTCCATTCATACCATACCTGTCCAGCAACTATTTGCCCCTAAATAAGTTAAACAGGAATAGGAAAAGAGAAAAGAGGTTCCTCTGATGGCTGGAACTGGCAATGAGCCATCAGTTAGATCAAGATATACATCCTGCTGCTCATGGGCCAGTAAAGGAGGAGCAATGAGGCAGCAGTGGAGACAAAGACAGAGGCAGCCAGCCAGGGGGAGATGGAGGCTGAGCCAACAAAACACAGGACGTCTGATGATGCAGCTCTTTCAGTTTCCAGAAAAAAGACGTATAAAAGGCTCTTTCTGAAAAACTGCTGATTTGTGAGAAACTTTCAGAGTGCCTTTGACAGTGTGTTTCCACATTTCAATACTTTTTCTGGCAATATTGCACTTGAGCTTTAATCAAAAGCAGTAGTGTTATGTTTGTTCTCACTTTAAAAAAACAAAAATAAAAAACAAATAGGTAACAAATGTTCTCATTTGTTAACTTTCAGGAACTTGTTAGTCACTTGAAAAACTCAGGAAAGATCCTGGCATGGAGGTCCACAAGCGCTACACAGAGCTTTGCATACCCACATCTACATATTGTCTATTGTCCATGCAAGCATGTTGTCAGAAACATGCAATCAACTAGTAATCTTGATGTTCATGCTGATTTTCTGCTATAGCTTAGTCCCTGTCCTGGAAAGTCATGGAAAGTCATAATATACAAAGAACTACTTTGTAATGAGCGTTATTGCAGAAAATTCCCGAGGAACCCACCCGAGGGATTAATAAAGTTTTATCTAATTTCTAAAAAGTTTTCGTGTTTTTTGTTTTTGAGTCTGGAAATAAGATTACGGTCATCAAGTTTGAAGAACTGCCTACAAGTATCAGCATACTATCTCCATAGTGTTTTCCTTAGCTGAATTACCAAAATCCCTATCTCTGCACAACCAATAAGCAAAATAAGTGAACATCACTGCAGATCTAAATATCCCACATATGAAATGCAACAACAGCGGTGGTGAATGATGATGCCGTGGTTTGCACTGTTACCTAACAGCAACCAGGTACTTGGTTCAAAATTGCAAGCCAGCTGCAGCTCTTCTGAAATGTACATGCATGTATTCCAGTTTCTTTCCAAAGTCCATAAACATGGATGCAAGGTTAACTGATGATTTTAAAATGGTCTGTGAGTGTGAATGTGAGTGGAAGTAATTGTTTGTCTGTCTGTCTCAGTGACCTGAGCAGAGCGTATCCTGCCTCTCACCAGTTACAGCTGGGATCGGTTGGAGCCCCACTGAGACAGTGAACTGGACAGTAGCTAAGAAAACTGATGGATGGTTAAACAGGTAATACTGTATGTTACGTTACTACGATATGTGCAGATATATGTAATATGATTACAGTATTGGTTTACTTATTTACTCTGAACACTGCTATCGACGGCATGTTAACATTTGTTTGATATAATTTCTTTATAATTACAAACCTTCAATTACTTAATTTTCCAAACGCTACCAAACACGATTATATGGTTGAAGCAAATACTATGTTTTTGGACTTTTTTGGCCTAGTTTACTTATCATTGTAGTGATTTGTGTTTCTTGGTCTTTGTTTGGTATTGTTTAGTTTCCTTGTACTTTCTAGTTTAATCATTTAATTCTAATTTCTAGTTACCTGTTCGTTTTGTTCCCCTTTGTGTCCTGGTTGTCTTGGTCTCATCTGTGTTCTCCTTAACCCATCTTGTCTCATTGCTCTCTCACTGTCCCTCACTTTATGTCTCTGTGTTGTATTTCCTGTTTTATTTTGGTAGTCCTGGTCTTGCGTGCATTGTGTTTACTTTTGCGTCACCCCATCTCGTTATGTTTGATTTGTTTCTCCTGTGTTCCCACCTGCTGCCCTTCCCCTCGTAATCCTGTTTAAATCTTCAACCTGCTGTCTCCCTGGGTAAAGTACTAGAGGTAATTTCCTAGTTGTTTATTTCTAGTTTCTGAGTTTTTGTTGGTTAGTGCTTTTGTTTTTTCTTCTTTTTGCTACAGCAATAAAGCTGCCTCTTGGAGTTTATTCCCCTGTCTCTGAGTCCTGTGTTTGGGTCCTGCCTTGCCTGCCACACAGCACCATCATAACAGGTATGGTATTTAACTGCTATAGACCAAAATGTTGAATCACTCTCCATGCCGCAGTTTTTTAAATACATGAATCAGCTAGCTGAAATGTCTTAATATGCTTGGATTGCAAGTCATTCTTGGACTCCAAGAATGATAAAGCCTTGAGAAGAGTATGCAGATTCAAAGAAAAGTGATATTTAAGAGATGATCATACATCACTGACTGACTCAGGCTCACAAACATGCCAACAGATCTCCTAGGTTACACACTGCCTGTAGATGAACAGAGTAGAATAAATTTGCACTTGAAGGAGGCTACCTCTGCTGTGGCGTTTATAGGCTAGCAAAATTTCATCTCACTTTTTAGTCTAAAAGTATGGGAACAAGCTAACTGTGCACATCTTACATCTGTATCATGCAGTTTTGACTCAGATGGCAGAAAAATTACCCTGCTTCCATGCATTTATATATATTTTTTCTTTCATGTGAAAGATGTGCCTCTAATTCTTGTGTGACTTCGCAATTGGTAGCTACTCTCAAACTGGAGCTCCATCATTTCAAGGGGCGCTTTGAGGGTGCTTATCTCTAGTATTACAATTTGCTGAATATCCCCCATTGATAATAATGTAATCTGAGATCATTAAATGTGACTTTTTTTTTTTAAGGACAGTAATGTGTGGACTTTAAAGTGACTTGAGGAAGAGCATCAAATGCAAGCTATGTAACGAAGTGAGATTAAAATCTCCTGGGCAAAGACCGTACTCACACATACTCGGGTGCAAAATCATTCCTTATTTTTTAAAAATGCAGCAGGTTAAGCTAACATTTAATAAGCTGAAACAATGCAATGAATTAAGTGTAAATTGATTCTTCAGGTCCAACAGCAAATGCTTATAGGAGCAGGTCAGGAATCAGAGGGGACCACATGCAGGATTACAAGCTAGATCAAATAACAAAAAGCAAGGCTTAGTTTCAGCTAATGCAAAATCCAAAAACGTACACTAACAAAATGAACACGAAGCAGGCATCCAAATAACAAGCATGAGTTACCTACATTTTACACAGGTGTACAGACAGGGCATACTGATAGAGAGGTTTAAACAACAGATGAGAACAAAGGTAGAGCAGACAATCACAAAGGAAAGAAGACAAACCAGGAAGTAAAAATCAAAGATGCACAACCAGGGATGAGAATTGATAAGAATTTATGATCAGTTCAATTCAGTTTATTTATATAGGGCCAAATCACAACAGTTGCCTCAAGATGCTTTATGTTGTAAGGTAAAGACCCAACAAAAACCCCCAACAGTCACATGACCCCCTATGAGCACGCGCTTTGGTGACAGTGGGAAGGAAAAACTCTCTTTAATAGAAAACGAAAAAAAAAAAAACCTCCAGCAGAGGGGAGGGGCGTCCATCTACCTAGTCAAGTCCTAGACATGCTATGGAAGAGAGCCAGAGATGAAGAATAACTAATAATTAAATGCAGAGAGGTGTATAAACACATACTGAATGAAAAAGGTGGCTGAAGAAGAAACAATGCATCATGGGAGTCCCCAGCCTACACCTTTTGCCGTATAACTAAGGGAGGATTTAGGGTCACATGATCCAACCCTGGCCAAATGCTTTATCAAAAAGCAAAGTTTTAAGTCAAATTTTAATAGTAGAGATGGTGTCTGTCTCGTGAATCCAAACTGGAAGCTGGTTCCTCAGAAGAAGGGCCTGAAAGCTGAACGCTCTGCCTCCCATTCTACGCATATTATCGATATTACTTATCGATTCAGCTCCTTATTGCTTCACATTGGGTTCTCATTCACTCTCGTTTGAGAGTCATCACCATATTTAAGCAGCATACGAAAAACATTAATTCGTGTAAATTAATTGCATTCTGTGTGGTCAAATGTTTGTGCATTTTAGAGTTATTTCCCCTTTTTGTTGTGTTCAGTGTTGGGATCATTACTCAAAATTAATGTATTATACACAACCTTTTTTAAAGTAATTCATTACATTACTTAATTAGTCCCTGGAGTAAGTAATTAGTTATACAAATCTTTGCATTACTTTCAGGTTTCTCCGTAAAATGACGTGAAATGCACTTTCTCATAATTACCATTAACTATATAACAGATAGGTTACAGTCCCACGCACCAATACAAATCTGTATTTTAATGAGAACATGCATGTGATCTTCTTTTAGTATTTAAGTATAAACACAAAGCCCACAGCACAAAGCAGAGATGAAAACCAGCACAAAGTGACTTCTACTGTAGAAAAATGGTCGGATAGAAACAGAGGCAGTAGCCTCACTGCTCATCACTGTCTTTGTTACCTGTTCCAGGTCTGGCTGCTGGGCTGGGTTTAGTGTTCACTTAGCTTTAACCTTACTCTGGCTTGCTGGCTAGCTTAGCATTAGCATGCTGTCAGTCCCAGTGCTTGAAAAGAGCCAAAGTTGTGTTAGCCGCATAGTGCTTTTTTTTTCCTCCCCTGTATCTCTCCTGTTTCCACTTTACCATTACTCTCTTGTCTGTTCATGCAATTAAATATAATAAAATGTCCATATCCATGTTGTAGACTGTAGGCTGCGCCACCAATTACTTTCTCCAGCACACATACCTAAAACAGCTGATTGAAGCGCATTTGGAACCAATAAGCAGAATTGATATGCAAGCAGACTAACATTGCCAAGGAATTGAACTCTATTCACATCCCTAACACAACAAAAACAATTATCACAGTGCATCAAATTGTGAAGACTAAACATGATACCAGAAAAGACACATACATACATACAGAGGGAGAAATAATAGTGTTAGAAACACAAGAAAGACACTACCCGATCAAAACAGGAATCAAAATTCAATGAAAATTAGACCATAACATCTATATGTGTGACACAAAACTTGGTTTTATCTCAGCCTGTTTCTGCCCTGCAAAGATAAATCACTCTTTTAATTAATGGCAGTTTAGAAATGTTGTTTAAAAACAGGCCAGCCATGTATTACAGCAGGACAGAGGTTGAATAACATGATAAGAGACGGCCTAATAATCATGTCAGAAGTCTTGACATTCACCTATTTATAGTTCAAAAATTAAAGTCACCAGTTGGAGAGGAAAAAAAGTAACGATAGTGGTAAAACTAAGGTGCAAAAACAAAAAATGGCTGCTGTGTCATTAATTAACTCGGACTATATCCTCTTACCTTGCAGTCCTCATAAAGTGCACATTGTGACCTACAAGCAAATCAGCACTCGTATGCTGGATCAAGTTTTAGTTTAGTCATGAAAATTCTCTGGTCAAATTTGCAATTAATCAAATGACCACAAGGCACTGAAAGCAAACTCTGGCCTTATAAAGACAAGGTCACTGTGTGTCCCTGGGAATTTGCATTTCCGTGTACAAAGGCCAGTCATCAATGTGCAGCTATGACGGCAGTGTTTGCATTGTACTGTAGTCTTCATATACAGGCTTCCAACAGTATAAGATTTATTGTCAAGAAGCAACAAAGAAATAATAAACAAACGCAAATTTCCCTGCTTTTTGTGCAAAGTTTAAATTAAGTCAAAATGCTAGTCTTGAGCTATGCAGGAAATTTTCTCACACGTAGACAAAGTCATTATCCATGTAAGTAACTTAACTATTGCCTCACCTGCAAAAATTGAAGTATCTAATTAGCTATTCTTGGTGCAAATCATGATTATCACATTTGTTCCTGAAGTGTTTTCCTACCGTTAGAAAGCAAAGTGAAGTAGCAACTGCCGAGCAAAGAGTAAATGGAGATAGATTGTTACACAGTGTGATAACAGCATCATTATCCTCTGCAACAAATATAGAAAACATCATCTGAGCACAGGCTTGTTTGAATTATTTCCAAGTTGCAAAGTGCTTTGAGGACTGAGATGTGATACCTCGGCATCATTCCTGCTGTTCAGTTTGCAGAAATGCATAGAGGCCCTACTGCATGTACAAATGCAGATTGTTTTTCTTTTTTAGAATATGATGCTGCTTGAAGTAAAATGTCTCACAGGAAATGTTTTAGTGAGTATGTATTAATATCTGCATAGAAATGATCGGTGCACATGAGTGTGCGAATACTTGTCTTTGTTTTAGCTCGTGTTTTTGCTTTTTGACTGACCTAATCGCTTACTGTATCAAAAAATGTTGATTATTTGTCACAACCTACCTGCATCATGGACTAAAATACTTTTGGTTGAAAACCAGGTAAATAGTTATTATATGCGCTCCTCAGAGATGAAATGATGGCTTTTTGGGAAAGTTACTTTTTATGCTCCCGACAAGCTGTCAGCATGTAGCTGCTAACCCTCAGATAGAAAGGAAAATCTGCCAACAAACCTCACCTGCTTTCTCCCACCTTGAATAGCTATTTTGATAAGAAAAACGTCCTCCATAAATCATCTCTTTAGAAACTTATCATCGATCTAACAGGAAGGCTCTCTGATGATCTTCATTTGTTAGTGATCAATGCCAACAGTAACTTTTGACCTCCGGTGCTTCATCAAAACTCCAGCGAACTGCCTTCCACAGATCGAAGCAAGTGTATTGATCTTCACAACGCATCCTCCACAGCCTTGTTCCTGTCATATTGATTTTACCCGTTTACAAGTTTTCATCTGTAAAAGAACTTTTACATTAGCATTCATGATCTTCGGATGTTGGTGTTGTCACAGTTCCTCCTCTCCCACACCATCAGATGTCACATTATAATGAAGCCACAGATTCTTTATAGGGCACCTTTGGTTTGTCTGCTGTTGTTTGGCAGCTATGAAAATGTTCTCTCCCTAATTAGGCTCAGCAGCAAAAGACATTTTCCCCCATATCTTGCCAATTATCTCACATTCAGAGTCAAATGTGTGTTTGCTTAAGCAAGTATTTGCACAAAGTTCTATCATTACGCTGCTTTGCTGATATGAGTTCCATATCAGTCATTATAAGTAAAAGCACTGATTGAATGGAAATTGCATTTCAGTCATTACTTGACTATATTAAGACCTTTTGGCTCTGTTA